AATATTTAAAATCGTTCGCGACATATAACATTGGATAATAGTTTATGACACGAGTAGTTCAGTTAAAACTCCATGAAACGTACAAACAGCTATAGTTATAAAAGAATTCGTAATAATTGATAATAATTTCGTAATAATTGATAATAATTTCGTAATAATTCAATTGGAACTTTCACATCCACTACTTGCCTTCGTATCCTTCTACCAACCGTCTTGTCAAATAATCCAGCTATAGTATATTTTTTCGAGAGTTAAAGGTGGTTTAAAGCATTGCATCGGTAGAGTAGAAAATAATGACAGTGTAATACGCACAAATTTCTGTCAATAATGTAAGAGAAATTGATCAGCGAACAAATGCGTAATTGACGAATACATCTTTTACGTGTCTTTCCGCCTATGCCAAAGGGTAGCAATCAACTTTTTCCTTTTTGCACCCCTCCCGTCAGAATGGTGTAAGGATGACAAGAGCGAAGAATGATTTCCAATCAACGTGACACCTGTTATTACGATGATTCATATGCACTAGAGCACGCGCGAGCCACAGCTTTAGATACTATCCAGCCGACACCATGCAAACGGAATTAGACTTGGACATGTCGATGGTCTTGTCAAAGTTTTTCTTGAGGAGCATCGGCTTGTGGATATCCGAAAATTCCGCAGAAGAACGTCGGATGAAAATAATGATCATCTATACAGTATGGCATTCGATATTTGCTACAGTCGAAATTACCAGAGATTTCTACTTCACTATATTTTACAAAGGCGTGAGTATATTTAACTGGTTTAGTTGTGTTAAATAAGATTGTGTATGTGCTATATTATGAAATAAATATTGTAACATTCCAAATATGTAATAATAATAATTCATTATGTATATAGAAACGAAATGAGTGATAGCGTCGGGTTCTGGAAAATATTAAGCAATTGTTACGACCATCTTTCTATTTATTATTAAATTATATAAACAAAAAATACATATTGATCTCTCGATGCCATTTATAATGATTGTTTCTAATTGTCACGTATCCTCATCGTCCGTTTATATTTAATAAATAAAAAGTGTGAAAGTCACGATATACACAATATTTGTTAATTTAATCTAATATTTAAAATCGTTCGCGACATATAACATTGGATAATAGTTTATGACACGAGTAGTTCAGTTAAAACTCCATGAAACGTACAAACAGCTATAGTTATAAAAGAATTCGTAATAATTGATAATAATTTCGTAATAATTGATAATAATTTCGTAATAATTCGTAATAATTTCAGGATATTCTTTACGTTACTACCAACATATTAACCGTGACAATGGGTTTAATCAAGATATGTATCATAATGGCGCATAAAGAGGAATTTATAAATCTGATCGTGTACGTGCGACAACATTTTTGGAATGTTAAGTACAATTTTCGCGAGAAAGAAATTTTGGATGATTGCAGAAAAACTTGCACCTTCTTCGTCTGTTCCGTCACCATCATGGGTGCATGTGCTATAATAGCTTATCTAATAACACCGGTTATTGGTAGGTTCTATTGCTCCATTATTCTGTTATCCTATTCGCTAATAGTGTGCTGTAGATGTTTAATTCAAGTCGCGAATGCTTACGTGGATGTACGTAATATCGACGTGCTATGTATGTACAGGATGTTTCCGTAATCTTAGTTCAAGCTATCGGGATTCTTTATGCAGAAATAGGTGGCAAAAGAGGAGTAATATTTTTTCGTCAACACGAGCAGAAAGACAAGTTGGTTACCTCGAAACTTGCAATTAGTACACGGGCATCTGACGGATCTTCAAACACATTTTTCTCGAAATCGAAGCCTTAAACGAAAAAATATTATTCCTTGTTTTCGGTTAATTTTTACCTGTAGAATTACTACCAGATCGCTTGTACCAAGATTTTAGAGACGCTCTGTATATAGATAATAGGATACTTCCCCCAGAAATTTTCATACTATTTTATCACATAATTTAAGAAACTTCTTTTTTTAAACAACCTTGATTCGGTATTGTTACATTAAAATGTACTATGATTGTGTATACTGTCAAATATTTCTCTACTGTAAAAAACTAAAAATTTGGTAAATACAAAAATGTACCTGACGATAAATAAGCGAAACGTTTGGTATAGAGAAAAGTATATCATCTAAACATTTGTTGCAGCAAATGCCGGGAAAAATAATTCCGAAAGAGTATTGCCATTCAACATATGGCTAAATTTGCCAGTATCTATGTCGCCTTACTACGAAATGATATTCACTCTACAGGTATTTTAGATTCTCGCAATTTTTCGAACGATTGTTATTGTAGCTGGTTGCATTATATGCTTACATTTACCATATTAATTTACACATTTACCATATTAAACTTACAACACAATGACATAAACTGGGATATCCGCATCTGTGGAACTGCAACGTGTGACAATTAGTTGAAATACGACATGCTGGTATCTAAAGATAACTATAGAAATGATGCGATATCTCTGACACGATTTTGCAAAAACCAATAGATTTTTTCCGTGGGCTGTAACAGGGGAAGTAATTTTTGTACTTTTTGCAGATGATAAATATGTATCAAATAGCTGTCACCTACTTTTGCTTCGATAATATTTTCTGCATTCTGGCCATACATTTGGCTGGTCAGTTTCGCATACTTCGATACAGGTTTTCAAAACTGTGCGATATAGAACATCAGATAAACGAGAAGGATATGGAATTGACGATAACAAACTATGCGCATACGTTTTATAAAAAATTGAAGATGTACGTTCGACACCACCAGGAACTGATCAACTTTTGCGACAGGCTTGAAAACGTGTATACGATGTTGATACTTGGACAAGTGTTGGTATTTAGTGTGTTAATTTGCCTGTTTGCTTATCAAGGATTATTGGTTAGTATTTACATGCTATAAACATTCCCATCATCGGTATTTGTTAATTGTTTGGGACTTCCTAAATGCTTAGTTTGCTCTTAGGCTGCTGCCCCTCTTGCGAGACGCTCGATTTTCATCTTTCATTTAATCGGATCAATGGCGCTATTGTTTATGTTCACCTATAGCTGTGACGGTGTGATAGAACACAGTGAGAAAGTTGCTATAGGAGCATATTCAGCGCTGTGGACGATCATGCCAATGAACAAACCTGGAAAGATGCTTCGAAACGATTTAATAATGGTGATTGAGCGATCAAGAAGAGTTTGTTGTCTCACCGCGAACAGATTTTTCCCTGTATCGTTAGAAACTTATAACAAGGTAGATATAGTACATATATATATACAACAAATACGCGTTACGATCTATGAAATTTAATGTATAGGACAAATTTTTAAACACTAGGAAATTGCAATTTTCGATATCGTGAAATAATTTGTTTATTAATATTTTGCAGATCTTATCTACCGCAGCATCATATTTCACATTACTAAGAAATCATTTAGAAAACGAAGCTGAAAACTGATTGGTAAAAGCAGACCTCCAACCAATTCGGTAAAATATTCGTAGACAATTACTTATGATAGTGTTCAAAAGAATTGTATAGATACATCTATAAAAAAAGATAAACCGTTGAATAGAAAATAACCGATAACTAAACATATGTATAATCAACTAGAGTCGCTCGCTTATGACTTTGCTGGCACAGTACCTATTTGAATGTATTTTTATTATTCCTTGTTTGTACACCATTTAAATGTTGAATTTCGTAAAACGCTCGAACAGGTATTTGTTCATTTTTAACGAGAAGTTTGTACGTCGAATGTCTCGTCCCCCGACTAGCAATTCGTATTCGACTAGAAATATATCCTTAAAAAGATGTTATCTCGTTTTTTGCCCTTTATGATCTGTATCCAGAAATCCTTTCTTATTCCACGCCTACGTCATAAAAGAAGTATATATATATACAGGGTGGTTGGTAACTGGTGGTACAAGCGGAAAGGGGGTGATTCTACGCGAAAAAAGAAGTCGAAAATATAGAATAAAAATTTTTTTTTAATTTTTTCATCGAGACAACGATCTACAGTGAGATCCGTCGTAACGTATCGCACGCGTACCGAGCGAAAATTCAAAGTCGATTTTCTCGAAAACAAAGCCTCAAACGAAAAATTTGTATTCTATATTTTCGACTTCTTTTTTCGCATAGAATCACCCCCTTTCCGCTTGTACCACCAGTTACCAACCACCCTGTATATACAGGGTGAGTCATTAAAAACTACCACCTGTAGCAATTATCTGTCGACTTCATCAAAAAGCGTTTAAAGTATGGTATTGAAGCAGCCTAGTCAGACGTGTACATACTCTAGTATCTTATACTTTTTGACACGTTAAGATGATTAGTCGATTCAGTTGGACATTCTTTACAAAACAGTATTAACTAATTTATACCGAAAAAACATTAATTCAGCAGATATTTTAAGTTTAATTTATCCAATTTAATGTACGAAAGGTAAGGACGATGTAAACGCAATAATACCGTTTCGCGTCTTTTCTCGTCTCTTCCATACATTAAATTTAACGAATTACAGTTAAAATATCTGATAAACTAGCGCTCTGTGTGTATAAATACATAAGTTAGGATCTTTCAGTAAAAAATGTCCAACTAGATCGGCTAACGTTATAAAAGATACATGATGGCTATTAAAAGCTTCAAAGTTAACTTGATATCTCAAAACATAGGGTATTAGATAATCAACTCGTATACTCGTCTGACCAGGCTCCTTAAATACAGTAAACTTCGCTGCAAACATTTTGTAATCAAGTCGATAGATAACGAATTTTTTGAGGTGGTAGCTTTTGCTGACTCGTTCATAACGTTTTCAGCGTAAATTCATTCTATGTCAAAATTACGAATTCCATTCGGTACTCTGAAAATCATATCGCGTCTAATTTTTCCATATAAAATATCATTACATATTAATTGCCTTCATTTTTGTAACTTTAGTTGTAGGTACTTAAAGATAGTATAGTTTATACGTATTATAATTAGCAAATAATGAGATGTGTGTTCGTGTTACAAAATGTGCGTGCTAATACAAAGGATATGTGATACTGCGTACCTGGTATAGTATGTCGCTACAGAATTACGTGATATTCATTTTGCAATGAAGGTAACAGCTTAATCATTCTCAAAAGAAATCATCTTTATACACCACGTCGTGATTCTACATTCAGAGGCAACGACGTAGTATTATACTTTCCAACTGTACTTTTTCTCTAAGTAATCATACGTTATAGCAGAATTTTTACTTCTGGCGACCAAGTAATCAATATGTGAGAAATTGCTAGTTGCACATGCACTGTAGGGGGTAATAATCGCACACGCCCTCTCTCAAGCACACGTGATACACCAATTCATATATTTTTCATGTTTGTCAATTTCTTATTTGTTTCTGCCACCGTATCGCTTCCACTCTACGCGGAAAAGTTCGCTTTAAGTAAGATACGTATCTATTATCAAGCGATCGAATGTCTCGATAGATCAAAGCGATGTCACTTCAAGTCACCTTTTCGCTAGGAACCTTTTCTCGCTAAATTTTCTAGCTGTCGCATGATTTAAAGATCAAGATCGAGAAAAACGATCGTCATGCATACGACACGATACACGGATATCTCAATCACGTTGTCACAGTTTCTATTAAAACTCGCGGGTGTCTGGATGACAGTGAATAACGCCGAAGAACGTCGAAGAAGACTCACTATGGCGTTTACTGCCGTTATACATGTTTACGGATTATATCTAAATCTCGGCGATGCTTATTACACGTGGAACGATTTGAGCGTGAGTATAAAGATCTGTCGCTGTCTTAAGATTGTTATTTTTCGAAAGTCATAGATATACTTTTCATTTAGAAATCAACTTAAATTTTTATACGAATGCATTATAAATTTAATTACAGAGAAAATAATTAAGGTGAATACCGAATCTACCTAATTGTTTTTATAAAATTTAATAGAAAACTGCAAGAAATATATTAATACGGCAATCGTATTATGAAAATGTTTAAAAGATTTATAGAGAGAAACAAATTCTATCGATGTTCCGACTGGTTTACTATATATAAAATGAATTAACTTTTTCAGCATTGTACCTTCTTGCTCTCTAATACATTATGCATCATATTGGCGATGTTCAAGCTTTTGATATTAAATTTTCGCAGAACGGAATTTAAGGATTTAGTTTTATTTGCACAACAAAATTTTTGGCATTTCAAGTACGACCATGATGAGAAAATACTTTTCATGAAGTGCCGAAAATTGTGCAAGCTGTGGACCATAACGGCATGCTCTTTCACGCAAGCCTCCTTGGCATTTTACATAATTACGCCAATCTGCGGTGAGCATGCATATTTAAAGATCTTCGTTTCTACATAAAATACATAAATTAGTCTCGAATAAAAACAATTCTATAGCTTTACGATCCAACGATATTAACAATCAAAATACATGCTTTACCCTCTTCACCGTATCCTTCAAAACAATCAAATTAGTTAACAATTAATAAACAATTGACAAAATCTCCATCGAGTCAACCCTGATTCTGAAAGAAATCACAAATATGTGCGAACTAATTAATAGAACATACGAAATGGAAGCTTCAGAATTCATGTTCCATTGTGTTTCAGCGAATATCGGAAAAAACAAATCGGATAGGGTACTTCCGTTCAAAATGTGGGTCGATCTGCCGCTAAGTGTGACACCGTATTACGAAATAATGTTTGTTATTCAGGTATCGTATATCTCCTCCATTTCCGAATATATTTAAATAGCGAACTCAGCGAATACAACGATAATTTTACTATGGAAGATCACTGTTTACCCAGCTAGCGACTGTGCAACAAATCGGTGTAACGTATTTGTGCAACGACAACTTCTTATGCATACTGAATATGCACGTGATCTGTCAATTCCGCATGCTCCATAACAGACTTTTGAATTTATGGAAGATCATCGACCAGAAAACGGATAAGATCGATTACGCCGACAAGTGTTACATAGCGTTGAAAAAATGCATTCGGCAGCATCAGTCGTTGATCAAATTCTGCGAGAAGCTCGAGTATGTTAATACTTTTCCGATCTTCGGCCATGTAGTGGTCTTTAGCTTGCTAATGTGCTTCGACACGTACGAGATACTTTTGGTACGTTGGATTTACTTACAGTATAGTAGTGGATTCGTTTTTAAATACGGTTTATTTGAAATACGATTTATCGCAAGTTTTATTATTTCACTGTTACGTAAGAATCGTTAAATAGCATGAGTAATTTAACTTTGGTTTATGTTCTTCTCAAAATTTCATAAACTTATCTCTTTACCTAGAAACGAAATGCTCGTTTCAAGTATTATATATTCGACAGTTATACCAGCTACATCAGAACGATTTCGATATGAATAAACGAGTATTATATTATGTATACAGGCAAATGTATCCACTGGTACACGACTGATCTTCGTGTTCCACATGGTCGGTAGCTTTATCCATATAATTTTCTTCACGTACACTTGCCACGGTTTAATAGAGGAAAGTTCGAATATTAGCTTGGCAACGTACTCAGGCTGGTGGACGATTCTACCAATGACCGAAACTGGCAGAATGTTACGAGAAGACGTGAAGGTGATGATGATGAAATCAATGCGACCATGCTACCTGTCCGCTGGTGGATTTTTTCCTATATCTTTGGAAACATCTACCGCGGTACGTAATCCATTTCGTATTTAACCTCATTCATCCCGGAAATATCGCTTTTTGCAACGCATTACCAGAAATATATAAATTTTTAGATGAATCCTATGATGACACTAAAATTTTATGTTACAGCTGATGAGTACTACAATGTCATACTTCACGCTCATGAGGGAATCATCTGTGAAAAATGCGGATAAATAATCCATCATATATATACAAGTACCTATATCATGAAAATATTTGAATATATATGAATATACTTTAATATGTACTTGAAATATATGTTTCGGTAATAATAAAGATAAAGTTAATTAAAATCTTACATCGGAAATGAAAATTCTACACCAAGGGGATGTGGCGACTCTTGCATCGACATCGATATAGCGATATTCCAATATATATGTTTTCTTCTTTTGCTAATAAAATTATCGCTAACATTGATGAGACCCTTCTGATTTTAGTGAGGCCGAACATGATATTGTTATAAAATTTGCTTGCTTTAATTTGGCTCGTGTTCTACGTTCGTTGCTGTCAGCAAAATACAAAGATTCCGAATAACTGGTCATTTGTTCTCCTTGAAAACCAAGGACAGGTAACTAACACTATAAACTACAGAATACACGCGTACATCATGCACGATAAATATATATACCACTAAAATGCGAAAAGTTATACAAAGAGATACTTACGAAATCTTCACGAATGCTATTCTTTTCTCTAAACGCAGCAACCATGATCGAATCCTTATCCGTACCCGTATTCAAAAATCTATTCAGCAGGAAACTCTCGTTTGGACTTCTTCTGTAACATGAACATAAGAACAAATAAATTTTGTATTTCCGTAACAACCATTACACGTTCCGATTTTAACAGCAATTTCTCGTAAGAGCGAAGGACGCAACATTTAACGTTTGAAAACTCAGTTGCAGTTCCTGATTAAAAAGTCGTAGATTGAAAAGTGACTGTGGTCTAAGACGTACGGGTCTCTGGAAATAATGAAAGAGATCAATCAACGAACAAATGTGTGATTACCTGCTACTTCCAAGCTTTTTTCATTTATTCATACAAAGATAACAATCAAACATTAATTTCACTCCTTCTTTCACTTCTGTTTTCCTTCCACTCCTCTTCCGCTCCTCTTCCATTCCTCTTCCATTTCTCCTTCACTTCACTTGCAAGAGTGACAGCAGAAATTAATAAATCAAAGAAGCGCGTCACCTGTTATTATGATGATTCATATGTATTGGGGCATACGCGGTACGTGGCACGCGACAGCTTTAGACGCTGATCAGTCATCATGCTAATACAACGAGACTTGGACATGTCAATGGTCCTGTCGACGTTTTTCTTGAGGAATATCGGTATATGGGTAACCAACTATCCCACGGAAGAACGTCGGATGAAAATAATGATCATTTACACAATATGGAATTCTATATTTGCCACGATCATTATTATCAGAGATTTATATTTCACTGTGTTGTACAAAGGCGTGAGTATATTATTATGATGTATAGAAAAACGAGACGAGCAGTTGCGTTAGATTGGAAAAAAATTTAGCAAGGACGGTCATTATCTTTCTAATTATTATTTAATCGTATAAGTAAAGCTCATGTATTGATTTCTCGTTGCCATCTACGGGGATTGTTTTTAATCGGCACCTATCTTTGATGTTCGTTTATATCGGATAATCAAAGAAATCATTGGTAAAAACTTTCTCGGTTACCTATATTTAATACATTAAAAATTTTAAATTCATAAGATACATTATATTTTCTAATTTAATCTACAATAATACTGAAAATCGTTCGTGACATATAACATTCGATAATAGTTTATGACACGTGTATTTCAATTAAAGCTCTATGAAACGTACAGCTATAATTATAAAAAATTCATAATTCATTTCAGGATATTCTTTACGTCACTACCAACATATTAACCGTGACAATGGGTTTAGTCAAGATATGTATCATAATGAAGCATAAAAAGGAATTTATAAAACTGATCGTGTACGTTCAACAACATTTTTGGAATGTTAAGTACGATTTTCGCGAGAAAGAAATTTTGGATGATTGCAAGAAAACTTGCACCTTCTTCGTCTGTTCTGTCACCATAATGGGTACATTTGCTATACTAGCTTATCTAACAACACCGATTATCGGTAGGTCAAAAATATTCTATTTGTTTACGGTGTGTTGCATTTTTTGATCCAAATCGTGGATGATTCGTGTGGATATAATAATAATAATAATTATAATAATATACTCCTTTCACAAATTCTCATACCATACATGTACATCAAATACATATACATCGATATACAATGTCGTATAAATAAAAACAATCTTTTCTCAAAAAAGAAATTTGATTCGGTGCTGCAATATTAAAATGTTTAACAATTGTGTATACTAATAAATATCTGTCTGCTGTAATAGGCTAAAAATTCGATAGGTACAATAATATACCTAACGATAAATAAGAAAACCATTCCATATGGGAAAAAGTATATCATCTTAGTGTTTGTTGCAGGAAATATTGGGAAAAATAAATCCGAAAGAGCATTTCCTTTCAACGTGTGGCTGAATTTGCCAGTATCTATGTCGCCTTACTACGAAATGATATTTACTCTACAGGTATTTTAGATTCTCGCAATTTTTCGAACGATTGTTATTGTAGCTGGTTGCATTACATGTTTATATTTACGCGGAAATACAACCTGTGACAATTAATTGAAGCTTCACCCTAGAATCCTCCACTTTCTATAAATCTACATGACCTTTCTTATCAATGACTAATCAATTTTTGCGATTTTGCAAAAACCAATAGATTTTTTCCACGGACTGTAACAGGGGAAATAATTTTTACTTTTTGCAGACGATAAGTATGTATTACGTATCGGTAAGCTATTTTTGCTTCGATAATGTTTTCTGCATCTTGGCCATACACTTGTCTGGTCAGTTTCGCATACTTCGATACAGGTTTTCAAAACTGTGTGACATGGAACGTCGGACGAAGGAAGATGATATGGAGTCGGCGTTAACAAGGCATGTGCATGTGTTTTACGAGAATTTGAAGGCATGCATTCGACACCATCAGGCACTCATCACTTTCTGCGACAGGCTTGAAAACGTGTACACGATGTTGATATTTGGACAAGTGTTGGTATTTAGTGTGTTAATTTGCCTGTTTGCTTATCAAGGATTATTGGTTAGTATTTACATGCTATAAACATTCCCGTCATCGGTATTTGTTAATTGTTTGGGACTTTCTAAATGCTTAGTTTGCTCTTAGGCTGCTGCCCCTCTAGCGAGACGCTCGATTTTCATCTTTCTTTTAGTCGGCTCAATGGCTCTACTGTTTATGTTCACCTATAGCTGTGACAGTGTGATAGAACACAGTGAGAAAGTTGCTATAGGAGCATATTCAGCGCTGTGGACGATTATGCCAATGAACAAATCTGGAAAGATGCTTCGAAACGATCTAATAATGGTGATTGAGCGATCAAGACGAGTTTGTTGTCTCACCGCGAACAAATTTTTCCCTGTATCATTGGAAACTTATACCACAGTAAATATAATATCGAATCTACAATAAATACACGTTACGATCTATGAAATTTAAAGCATAGGGCAAATTTTTAGACACTAAGAAATTGCAATTTTCAATATCGTAAAATAATTTGTTTATTAACATTTTGCAGATTTTATCTACCGCAGTGTCATATTTCACTTTGTTGAGAAATCGTGTAGAAGACGAAACTTTAAATTGATCGGTAAAAACAAATCTCCAATCGATTCAATAGATTGTTCTAAGAAAATTGCCTTTAGATATATATTGTACTATTCAGGCAAATTGTATATTTATCTGTTAACGAAAATAAATGAATTTTAGGAAAATAACTGATAATTTAATACATATATATAATAAATAATCAATGTGGAGCTTTTCCTATAGTACTTCAATGTCTTAATATATCAGCCAATCATTGACGACATATGAGCTTTTTTTAATATTTATAGTAAATCTTAAATTAATTCGGTATCATAATGGTGAATTTCATTCACTACTCTGACAATCACAGTCGTTTAATTTTTCTATTTATTGCTATTTCTATTATTTTGAGTCATATATATTGGATCATATATTTGGAATCATATTTATGGTAGATTAGTCTTGAATAGTTTATAATAGTATAACTTACATATTGTTGCCAGCAAATAGCGAAATGTATTTTCATGTGACAAAATGTATGTGTTAATACGTAGAAAATGCACGTACCTTCACTGTACTCATAAATTAAAGTGTATTTATCTTTAGTTAACATAGTCGAAATGTCGATCGAGTCAATTCTAATTCCGAAAGAATATTTTGAATAATCGATCATCTGTCCTCCTTCGAGTGTGTTCTTCGTTCAATACAAAGAACAGATCCTATGCATTATTATATACAAAACAAGCTGCAAAATGCACATGTGTATCATACGCAATAAAAGTACATAACACTGAAAAATTATAATAAAGATGTTTACAAAATAACCGACAAATAGTCTTTGTAAATTTTATTCCTTTATTCGCGAACAGCAATAAAAGAATGTTAGGCTAACAACCACTGTGTTCTTCGAACGTTCCCGGACAATAAAATTATCGATGTACCGCGTATGCTTTATCGTCTCCCCGAATACCACCATCCGTCTGAAATCGTGCATAATTTATCAATCCGATGCTTCTTCCCCTTTCCGTTTTACACCACAAGAGAGCAATTATAGTGACGTGTAAAATAACCAGTTGTCCACGAAACATAGCGGACATGCAAAACGAACGGGATAATCAAGATAAGTATGGAGATTCAGGTATGGTTAATAAAAAACCTGAAGATTCTCTTGTAAATTGGAGCTTGGAGCACACTACCGTTGAAGATTCAGAATGAGCTCGAAGAAAGGCAGAGATCTGTCAATCACCGTCGTGTCGTTCTACATGAAAATCGTTGGCTTTTGGCTGGCGAAGAACCATGTCGAAGAACGTTGGAGGAACTTTGCTATGATTTATACGACTTTCGCAATTCTCGTCGCCATCGTGGTCGAAACGAGGGATCTGTACTTCACTTGGGGAGATTTTAGCGTAAGTGAAAAATTCAATTTTGTTATAATAACATGAAGAATAATTTTTCGAATAAACAATTTTACGGATTTGAACACTATTCGAAAGATCTATTGGATCAAAGCAGTTTTTGCTCTCGCGGTAGTTTGGAAAATATCCATCGTGTACGTGTACTGTTATTTGATTATAGGGTACTGTATACATCGTGTGCAACCTCGTAACTATTATTCTCGTTTTGTTCAAAATTTTGGTTTGTTTTGTATACAAAAAGGAGTTGCTTAGTTTGATACAATACGCGAAAACGAATTTTTGGCATTCGAATTACAATTCACACGAACGAATGATTGTGGATAGGTGTAAACGTACCTGTACGGTTCTCGTTTGCGTCTTCACTTTCTTCGCTCAAGGAACAGTTATCTCTTACGTGATAGGACCAATTCAAGGTGAGATATTTATATACTCATTGTACAAAGAACGATATATATTGTTAACTAGCTTTCTTGATTAAACGAAATTAATTAAACGAGCTTTGCTAACGTATTTATATTATTCAGCAAATATTGGAAGAAACGAAACAAATCGAATACTTCCGTTCAATATATGGTTGAACGTACCAATATGCTACATGACGCCATACTTTGAGATCGAGTTTATCATACAGGTACTAAGAATTTGTTAGTTGCTAAAAACAATTAAAAGAACAAATGTTTTAATTTGCCACGACTATATTTATCAAAGTTAATTTCAAATATGTATATTCCAAAATCGCGATACATAAATTTAATAAAATCACGTATACGCATATGACAAAGATAAAATTACATCTTGCGTTTCTACAGGTTTTGTGCCTGTATCACGTTGGCGTATGCTATCTTTGTTTCGATAATATTTTATGCATTATGAATCTACATACTGCTGGACAGTTTCGTATCTTACAATATAGACTTGAAAATATGTGCGGTGAAAATAACAACGAAAAATTGTCGTACAGCATATGTAAATATATGAAACTTAAAACTTACATTCAACAACATCAAATGCTCATTGAATATTGTAAGAAACTCGAGCAAGTGTTTAATTTGATTGTGCTTGGACAAGTATCGCTCTTCAGCTTATTAATGTGCCTCGATGGATATTTAGTACTTACGGTATGCATAATAGTATCTATATTAAAAAAAACTGTGCCGTAAAAATAGAAATTTAATGTTGAAAAAATTCTAGTTTGCTTCATAGCAGTAATAATTTTTGATATTACGACATAGCAACAATTCCAATCTTCTTTATTTTTCGTGAAGTTGCAAAAAATTCTCGTAGGAGAAAGTAATATATTTTTAGTTCGTTACAGCGGTTTAGGATACAACAATGCAATTTTTCACAGGAAGACGCTCCTCTTATGAGACGCCTTATTTTCCTATTTCATATAACGGGTTGCATGTGTCAACTGCTGATGTTCACCTATAGTTGCGATTGTCTAATACGAGACAGTACGAACGTAGCTAATGCCGCCTACAAAAGCTTATGGTCGTTTCTACCAATGGACAAATATGGGAAAATATTACGGAGAGACTTGATGTTAATTATCATGAGATCTAATATACCATGTTGCTTGACCGCTAGTGGATTCTTCATCGTATCATTGGAAACGTATACTGGAGTAAGTACATTTACTCGCTGTAATTACACTAGTTCAATCATGTGTAGAACGGATCCCGTTTCTTCGTGCAAACTGAGATAAATAAATACTACTATTAATTTAACCCTTTCACCTAATCTGATATAATAATACTAATTCTTACACTTCCTAGCGAATATTTATTTTATTTTCAGGATATTCGCTCGTTATAACGTTAACATTTACTTATATTGATTTCTTTATTGTCGTTTTAATATCATTTCGTTGTAAATTTTGAGCGATGCAGTGTTACGTTTTACTTCATAGAAATAAGAGAGGAGATGGTAGTTAGCTTTGCCTAAAAAATCAATGCTACCAATAATGTGGAACTTTGGCCTCTTATAATCAATATGACCGTATTTAATGGAATATCCTTAGTAAATTCATTATTGCTCTTATTGTATGTAAGATAAAATTACTTGCAAAAATTACAAATACAGTATTCATTTTTATATCCAGCGTATTCGTTGTGGATTCATAATTCACACGATCGACATCGAACTTGCATCTCACCATTATGATCATCCGAATACTTGTGAGAAGGAAACTTGTCGGTCGTTACGCTTTTGTTTGTTTCAAAAGAGTAGAATTACCCAAAGAGACTGGCGTGTGCGAATGAGGTGAGATTTCCTCCGCAATCAACCTACGGCATATATTGTCCTTATATGCAGTAGGGAAAAATATAATAGTATCGTACCCCATAGACTATAAAGAGTGCAGCGTTCCATATCCATGCTACCCTCGAAACAATGTTATTTTCTACCCGTATTTACAAGTAATAACTAAAAAGTTTCATAAACATTATTGTTGGCGTGATATAAATTTGCTTTCAAAGTACAGTGACTATACCAATCACATTATTGCACAATATATGATACCTGAATATTATTGTAAGATTACAAGTTATTAACAGAATTCGACATTATCAGCTTCCCTTTTCCTCTCCTCGACATTTCCTACGTACGCAGAACATATTTTCCAACATTTACAACTGTAATATGACGCGTCATAAATTATTAAACGAGGAATTAGTAAGTAACAGTTGTTTTATAAGTGTTCTTATTTCCCTAAAAAACATTTTTTTTAAGTACTTGTAAAATGACTTTATCGTAACAAACACAATGTCTATTATTATTATTATATCAGATACTCTTTAACGAGTTATAAAATCATGATAAAAATTTAATCTATTGTGTTCCTTTGCTGTTTACAGATTCTAAGTTCCGCGGCATCGTACTTCACGTTGTTGAGAAATCATGCAAGCGATACGTCTTAAACGCAAGTACCAACAACATTTTCGAATAAAGATCCAAGAAATTTAAATGTTTAAAAGCATTTAGGTATTTATTTACTTGATATTACACAAAAATATCAGTTGCTTTGCCTAACCTTCATTCGTAGGCTGTGTTTCCAGGAAATGCAGTTACTCCGATCAATATTCGGACACCCTTCGAAACAGAATAACTTTTTTAAAATTGAGCCAAACGGTTTGAATTTCTTTTTTCTTTTTCTTTAAGTTAGAAGGGTTAATTCACTGGACGACGCGCGCCAAAATGTTGAAAAAGTTACAATTGGTCGACACCTCGGAGAAAATAATAAAGGTCGCTTTTTACTAATTTCTTATGCAAGAAAATTCAAGGCAGTCGTGTTTACAGCACGTTCTGTAGATTCGGAAATGCCGAGCTCGCGTGGTCTTGCTTCGAAAACCGTGGCGGTCCATGGAGCTTTCCGGTACATCAAGGAGGACCTGCCCCAAATGATATGGATGACGACCGTACAATTATCGAGAGGTTCTTTTTCGGCAATTACAATATTATCGAAGAATTCCTTATATATATAATAGACATAAATCTTCGAAATTTGTTATTCAAATTTTCATTGATTCAAACTTTCAGAACCAGATAAAAATGTTGTAAAAAGCGATCTCACCTTTTTCTTTGTGATTCGGATTAATTCCGCGAGATTCTCAAAAATTGTTTGCACGTCATCTGGCAAACTAGCCCTTCTAGCTTCTCAAAAAATATCAAACCGTCTAATCCGTTCTTTAAAAAGTTATGCTATTTTAAGGCGTGTCCGAATATTAATAGGAGCAAATTTTTCTTAGACTATCTCGTTTATTCGATTCTTCGTTCATGTCAAAATGTAGTTGCTTTAAACAAAACTTAAGCCTTTCTTGTCAAAAATATCAATGACAAACAATTTTACATTTACATTTTAACCGGAACAACTTAATCGTTTTATCTATTTATATATAAATATATATTTTAAAAGATCAATTCTTTCGCGCGAATTTGCAATACTAACAACAAATACCTAACTACAATACTATTCTATACATTTTGATAATAAATAACAGACTATTTCTCTGGAATAAAGAAATATAGCAATAAACAGGAAGGATTTTAAAAATATTTTATTTAATACGATAATATGATAATACGATTAATATTACCTCTACCATTCTCTATTTCATTCCATAAATATGTCTTCGCGTAAATTCACCTTCCACAAGTACTAATCTGTAGCACAGTTGTTATTAAAACGTGTCACACTAAAAATATATAATTAATTAATGGATGATAAATGAAAAAAGGAAAGTTCTTGCCAATTAATTCTGATGATGAAGGAAAACATGCGTTATAAGCTTCAAGACACTGTCATATATCATTTAACATTAACATAACACAATTAACATAACTAAATCACTAAAACACAAATAAGGATAAAAATGACAAGTTCTTGTGCTCAAAAACGAATTCAAAGGGTGCAATTCGATTACACAACGTTCTTCAAAAGTTTCCATGAAATGAATCATCTAAACAGTCGCGCGTGTATTGTAATACACGTTATCCTCACGTCTGAACATTCGGCGTCTCCGTGGAATAATACACAATTTATCGATCCGTCGCTGCTTTTCCTTTTCACACGATGGAACAGCAATTGCAATGACGTTCAGAATAACCAGTTGTCCGGGAAGTATAATATGCAAAACGAGCCAGATAATCAAGTCAAAAGCGATCAAGGGATCAAAGTAATATCGTATCACTGTATCAGTCACTGTAGATATCGATGATAAGCAAATTAGAGGCTTTCGGTAGAATCGAAGAATGAGTGCTCCATCGTCGAAGACTCAGGATGAGCTCGAAGGAAGTCAAAGATCTGTCTATCACCGTCACAAGTTTCTACATGAAATTCGTTGGTTTTTGGCTGGCGAATGATTATGTCGATAAACGTTGGAAGAACATTGCCATGTCGAATACAATATTTTTTATCTTCGTTGCCATCACGATCGAGTTGAGGGATTTGTACTTTACTTGGGGAAATTTTGAGGTGAGTAATGAAACAAATATGGACTAAAGCAAATTTTCAACTAACAATACCATAAAAAAATGGCTTCTAAGTTTGATTGCTGAATACTTTTATTACAGGATACTATTTACACCGCGTGCAACGTTGCGACTATCGTTTTAGTTCTACTCAAGACCTTTGTCATATTTATACATAACGACGAACTGCTTTATTTAATTAATTACGCGAAAACAAACTTTTGGCATTCGAATTATGACTCCCACGAGCAAATGATTATAAATACCTCTAAACGTATTTGCACTTTTCTCGTTTGCTCCTTCGCCTTTTTTGCTCAGGGAACAGTCGTCAGCTTCATACTAAGACCTATTTTGGGTGAGACATTTATGCAATCAATCTGCGAAAAATATGAAAATTTTCAGTACAAATTAAAACGCTGACGCAAAACATATTCTTAAGGAATTATTTTGTTGATATTGTTATTATATCAAATTGGAATTATAACAACTAACAAAGAGACGTGTTGATATGTTTTTCAGTAAACTATGGTAAGAATGAATCAGATAGGATACATCCGTTTAATATGTGGTTCGACGATTCATTAATGTTGTCACCGTATTTTGAAATAGTCTTCGTAATACAGGTAGAAAAAATTATTCATATAAGATCACTGTAAAAAATACTTTTTAACTATTGTATTTTAATCCAGAAATCGTACGATATTTTGGATCGTTTAATCATTATGCTCGTTTTACAGACTTTTAGCGCGTGCCTAGTTGGTACGTGCTACCATTGCTTCGACAATCTTTTATTCGTTATAAATCTGCACACTGCTAGTCAATTTCGTATTTTGCAATATAGATTTTCAAATATGTGCAATATAAATGATCACGAACATTATACAACTTTGGAAAGATCATCGTACACTGAAGATAAATATGCAACGTTTAAAACTTACGTCAAGCAACATCAAATGCTCATTCAATATTGTAATAAACTCGAGAATGTGTTCAGTGTAATAGCACTCGTGCAGGTGACACTCTTCAGCTTGATAATTTGCCTCGATGGATATTTGATACTTATGGTTAGTAGCAATCGCGTTTCATCGTCGTATTTCATTTACTTTTATTAGATTTTTTATATTAATTTCGTTTCTTCTGCTGCAACATAACATATAATAATTATCTTTTTATTTCTTAAAAAATTAAACAAAATACTTACGAAAAGAAGAGAAATTATATTAATAATAGCTTTTCCTTTATTCGTTGTTTTAATTTAATTATCTCTTCTGCAGGAAGAGATTGCTCAAATAAAACGTTTTACTTTCATATTTCATGTAATGGGTTGTATGTGTCAATTATTAATGTTCACGTACAGTTGTAATTGCTTGATACAAGACAGCGAATGTGTGATGAACGCCACTTACAAGAGTTCATGGCCGCCCCTGCCGATGGACAAATATGGAAAAATGTTACGCAAAGATTTGATGTTCGTCATGATGAGATCTAAAGCACCCTGTTGCTTGACTGCCTGTGGATTCTTCGCTGTGTCGCTGGAAACATATACAGGAGTAAGCAATATTGTGTACATCTTATAGCTATCGATTTAGTCTTTTTGTCGCGGAAACCTCGAAAGGAAAACGTTATTCGTCTAGATGTATTGTTAAAGTATCCTATAAACATTTAGGTGCTTTATTTCATTAATAACGATGTAACATATATGAATAGAAATTATTCTATATTAGAGAAAATACATATGTATTAGGTCATCCCATAAGTTCGTGCCGTTTTTCAAACGGTTATATATGTTATTTTTTCTAAACACCTATGAATCGTTGTCTTAGGTATTTTCAGAACATTTGACATCTCTTCAACTGTTAAACTTCGTGATTTTTCAACAAGATCCCGAATTTTATTTTCGTCTGTCTGAGGAGGACGCCCGGAGCGTTCCTCGTCTTCTAAACAGAAATTCCCAGCTCTAAAACGTTGGAACCACTTCCTACAGGTGCGAGATGGAAGCGCATTTTCACATATGTGGCACATGAGCACATATGTTTCACATATGGAAGCACATATGTTTTTCGTGGCAATTGTTACAGAACTTCCTTTCCGAAATTCATATAATATCAGATGTAGAAAATGGATACGCATTTCATTCATGATTTTTTACTGTTAGAAGTCACTGTGTTTACTATATTACGATCTTATACCCACGAAAATCTGCTCTAGCCTGTTCTCGATCAGCTAAGCTCAAGTGCATTGGTCCCTTATCGCCGTATGTTTATAAATCGACACATGAAATGTATACACAAAAGTCGGCACGAACTTATGGGATGACCTAATATATCTTGTTTTAAAAAGAAATCAATTAATTTCTGTTATACAATAATTAAACTAATACATTTCGGAAACGGTGTGACGGATGAAAGTAGCGTGAAATGTAAATTCCCAAATCTGATATAATAATATCAATCGTTATGCTTTCTACCAAATAATTTTATTTCCAGGAAATTTTTCCCCCCGAGATAGTTACGATGTTCAACAAAATTAATGTTACTTGTTCTCCTTATAAATTTTGAGCATCGCGGTATCATGCTTTCCCTTATTGAAACGTTACAAAAAGAAACTGTTGCAGTTCATGCATATTACGAATCAATTTCTCAAAAACGATACAAAGAAATTAATTTACCGAAGTAGAAACAGGAATATCTAACATGGCCTTTTATTCTTCCAAATAAATCGCGTTATCTCTAAAGTAAGTAAACTTTTAAAACAACGATTAATCACAAACCCTATGGTAGTTCTTTCTAAGATATCAATTTTTTCTACATATGCAGAACAAGAATATGGAATATGCTGCAGTATATATTCGAGGAAATAGTGCGCATACTTGTATAAACTATCTAATGACGAGGTTCGTAAATAACAGTTGATTTTTTCACATGAAAGTACAATTATTATTATATCAGATTTTATTAAAAAGATACAACAATATCTTAATAGTTCCTTTGTTTTTGCAGATTCTAAGTTCTGCGGTGTCATATTTTACGTTATTAAGAAATCACGCAGGCGATGCATAACTACTACGATATAACAGTGTCCGATATACAGAAAATATATGCGGGAGAATTTAATTTCAGACAATAGTTACATATGTTTTTGTTAAAACAGAAAATAAAATTAAAGAGATATTTCATTACCAAATAAATCTAAGTATGTATTGTACAGTGTACATTATTGTACATATTGTAGTTAATAACGTTTCGTATTGTAATCGTCCGAAATTGAGGTAAGTATTTTGTATTACATACAAGACTTCGCGCAACCTTACACACAAATTACACAACTGTATACCTCATAGGTAACACAAAGGAAAAAAACAATTTTTCATAATAACCACAGTGCAATAACATCAAATAATTCCGATTTCACCATTTTCATTCTTCTTTTTTTTGTAGCAATAAAACACAAAAACAAAGCATTTTCCATTTTACCATTAATTTCATAAAAAGCAAACGACGTCTAGCGTCTAGCTATATAACACCTCGCTTGCACCTTTAGTCCAGGAAATAATGATCCATAATACGCGCCGGCACCATAAATAACGCAACAGACGTCAATCAAATACATGGTGAACCTGTTATTTTCTTTTTCTTTTTTTTACGTTTCGGGTTATTCGTAACACTTCCCTGACAAATAGATTAAAAACGAAGAAAAAGAAGAGAGAATAAACAAACAGCAAGAAATTAAAAACGTGAAGCAACTATAGTTACAGAGTTTCATATGATACGTAAGTGATAGCTTTACACGGTTGACGATCAAACGGAACGAACATGCAAACGGAACAAGAGTTGGACATATCGATGAGATTGTCGGCTTTCTTCTTAAAGCACATTGGCCTATGGATAGCTAATGATCCCGCGGATGAACGCCGGATGAAAATTATATTCACCTACACAATTTGGAATTTGATATTTGGCATGATCGTCTTGAGCAGAGATTTGTATTTTACTTGGTTCTACAATGGCGTGAGTATATTCGGTCGTTTCATATTTATTGTATAATCGATCAATCGACTCACAGACAGTGGCAGTATTCCAAGAATTTAACGATGAGAATTCGTAGGAAAATAATATGTTAGAATAGAAGTTTAATTAGTCAATATTTTAATCACTGATCCATAGTTAATATTTACTTTAAAATAATTATCATTTTTTATAGACTAATATTGTAATTTCATTTTCCTGTATATTAACTGCTTAATTATTCATTCGATCAACGATATTTTTTGCTATATCTTATTACTTCAAATTATTAATTTTAGGATACGCTTTATGCTCTTGCGAATACTATGAGTTTGATACTGTCCTCAGTCAAGGTATGCGTTATAGTGATGCACAAAAAGGAATTTATAAACCTCGTCGTGTACATGGAACAACATTTTATGGCTGTTAAATACGATATTCACGAGAAAGAAATTTTGGATAATTGCAGAAAGATTTGCGCCCTTTTCATCTCTAGCGTTACCACCATTGGAATATGTGCTATACTATCTTATATAACCACGCCTTTTATTGGTAGGTTAAAATATGCAAGAACCAAAAACCTTTTTATTTAAAGTGTACACGATGTTTAAAACGTATAACGCATACGAAAGCAAAGAATGATTCACGCATTTATTGCAGCACAAATTGGAAACAATGAATCCACAAGGGAACTTCCATTTAATATGTGGATAGGTATTTTGTCACAATCTCCTTACTATGAACTAATATTTTTTGCGCAGGTATTTTAAATTTTCGCATTTTCCTAGTAACTAGTAATTTAATCGCTTGTCTTTATGTTTGTATTTTATTCGTACCGAAATAAATCTCTAACAGTTTGATATATTTACGACCAACCAAAAAAAAATAGACAGCAATGAGATTCATCTCGCTACTACGATATAGATATTGAAATTACTGAATATTCGATAAGCAGCGCTAAATTTCTACAACAAATTATATAAAAGGAAACGATTTTTCTTTCTTACAGATTATGAGTCTATCCTATATAGGAATCTGCTACTTCTGCTTCGATAATGTTTTCTGCGTCATGGCCATACACTTAGGCGGTCAATTTCGCATACTTCGATATAGATTTTCAGAACTGTGTAACATAAAATATCAGATAAGCGAGCAAGATAAAATGTCGATACTGACGAAGCATGTACACAGAACTTACGAGACATTTAGGAAGTACGTTCAACAACATCAAGCACTGATCAATTATTACAATTCGCTAGAAAACGTGTACACGGTGATTATACTTATACAGGTGCTGGTATTTAGCGTGTTAATTTGCCTGTTCGGTTATCAAGTGTTATTGGTTAGTATTTCACGTGTTTAAAACGCATTCATTGTGAATGTTTGTACATAATTCAGAAATGAACTTTCAGCGATTCATCTTTATTATCATTATTACAAAATATGGAAATAATAATAACCTATGTATATAGAAGAGTTCTATCGTACATAGAATTCTTCTCGCAGAAAAGAATTTCGATGTTCCGATAAAAGCATATGTTCTCTTTCAAATGTTACTTTTTCTTAGGCTAATACTAACTCTGCAAGACGTTCCATTTTCGTCTTTCTCCTAATCGGCGCGTTGTCCTTATTGTTTATGTTCACCTATAGCTGCGATGATGTAATAGAACACAGTGATAACGTTGCTATAGGAGCATATTCAGCGCTGTGGACAATTATGCCAATGAACAAACATGGGAAGATGCTTCGAAACGATTTGATAATGACAATAGAGCGGTCCAGGCGAGTCTGTTGTTTGACCGCAAATGGATTTTTTCCTGTATCGCTGGAAACTTACACTAAGGTCGGTACAATACCTATAAGAAACACAGTACGTTATGGTCTTCCTCGATTACCCAACGTCAATCTTTTCTTCCTCTTTTTTCTTTCTTACAATTGGTAACGAGAAATATACGAGTGTGAAAACGATCCACGATGTTTAAAATACATGTGAACGTTTTACAGATTTTGAGTACCGCAATGTCATATTTTACATTGTTAAGTAACAATGTAACCAAAAATGAAACATAATTAATAACAAACATTTCCGATTAATTCAGCGGATACAAAGCGCTTAGATTGTCTGGATGATTACAGGAAATCGTACGTATAGGTTTTTTTAAAAAAGAAGACAAAAATAAAGATTATCTTTTCATGTACAGAATCTCAGGCGTACAATTACTAAATACCTTGTAATGTGGTCGTAAAATTTCATTCATTTGCAAAGTATCCAAAAATACAAGAAAAATCATTTTTCGATTCATTTTCTCACATCACAGACCAATCTATTACTAATGTAACTTCAACTCACAAAAGAGTTATTCTCCTTTCGCTATATTCTCCACCTTTCGACAAAGACAAAGTAAATTGCAATTTTCTTAAATTGCATGCTATAGTTTACTAGGCTATTGTTAAATTTTCCTTTTGTAAAGCGACGCAGCTGTATGCCGTATGATTCTCGTAATCATGCATAACGCATCAGTCCAATCCATACATTATTCGCCTCGTGTATCATCAATATCTTTTACTCCCTTTTTTGTTCTTCTCTTTTCTTCCTATTTTTCTTTGTTCTATTATCATTCTACTAAATTATCGGCTATGGATGGTAATATGAAATAAATATGAAGCGAGCAATCGCTTAATAAAGACGCGGCTAGATCAAAGCGATTGATCGTCTCCGATACATTGGAACAATCAATGCAGAGTGTGTACGAGTGCACGAGTTCAATATCCGAACGTACAATAGCAGCCGGTTATTAGGAATACGATGAGTTTTATCAAGACTGACGATATATCTGTCAGATTGACGTCGGTTTTTATGAAGCTCGTAGGATTATGGATGGCGACAGAACGATCCGAGCAACGCATTAGGAATATTACGGTGGGTTACACGTTGGTCGCGATCATGTTCGCCATGTGGTTGCAAACCACGGATATGTATTACTCGTGGGGCGATTTTAGTGTAAGTTCTTTTATATAAATAAATTGTGTATTGCTGTAAGTACATTTAAATTGCATTATATAATATAAATACAGTGTAATCTGAAAACTTTCGTGATTACGTTACTGTAGTAAATGCATGCATTATTTATACATAGTAAACAAATATACTCGCTAGAAATAATAGAGGCACTTCTATCTTTAAGCGATCCTATTTCTAACATCTTACATCGACTTTTCATAGGCCTGCCTTTTCGATGCATGCAATATATTGTCGTTAACAATGCCGTTTATCAAGATACTCGTTTTGCTTGCGCATAAAGAAGATTTTTTTCGTTTAATATTTTACCTGCAACGAAAATTTTTGCATGGAAATTACAACGATTACGAAAGAAAAATTGTAATCAGTTGTAAACGAAAGTGTACATTTTTCATTTGTTTCTTTACACTTTTCACTTTGGCCACTGTTGCCTCTTACATTATTAACCCACTTGTTGGTAAGTCGACTAATCAAGACGGATAAAAATATAATCTAATTTAAAAATCCTTATTCTTATTAAAATACGAAGTATCTGTATGATTACGTTAAATAAAAATTTATGTTATTGTACACGTTTTTCCTCGTACAAAATTACTGGATATTTTACCATTATTATACGCATATATGCGTATATGTATATGTATATTAAGAAACAAGTTACTTAAATATCTGTTTCAGCAAATATTGGAAGAAACGAGTCAGACAGGGTGCTTCCATTCAACATGTGGATTGACTTGCCACTCACCGTAACACCATACTATGAAATAATATTCGTTCTACAGGTATTGTCATGTTATCGACATATTGTATTATCGTATAATCTTAACTCCAAAATCCATCGTATTGAATAATATTACTTTGATTGAAACTCGTAGGTTTTATCTTTATATCATATTGGAATAAGCTACTTTTGTTTCGATAACTTCTTATGCATCATGAATTTACACGTGGCTGGTCAATTTCGAGTATTGCAGTATAGAATCGCAAACATGCCAGATTTAATGGACAAAGTGAAACAAAGTGGAGATAAAATATTAAATACGGGATCATCGTGCCTTGCGAATGAATGTTATAGCATTTTCAAAAAATATATACGGCAACATCAGGCGCTTATTGCGTATTGCGGGAAATTAGAGGAAGTATTCAGTTTGATTATTCTGGAGCAAGTATTGATGTTCAGCTTGTTAATTTGCCTCGATGGATATCAGGTGCTTATGGTTAGTATAGCGCGTTAATACGAATGACTAATTTTTATATGCATTTATATCTTTTAGATAGAAGATTTCTACGATCAATACAAAAATCCGAGGTAATGAGTTTTGAATTTCTATTATCATTACTACCTACAATACTTCGTACTATCAGCGTCATTTACAGTTATCATTATTACTTATGTTTATGTTTTGAGAATAGCGAATAACGTTATTACAATAATGTACGAATGTATTATAATATCTTTTTACAGGCAAACGCATCTACCTCGATACGCGTGATTTTCATTTGTCATATATTGGCATGCCTATGCCAATTGTTGATGTTCACTTACAGCTGTGACTGTATCATACGAGAAAGTGCGAGCATAGCCACCGCAGCGTACAAAGGACCTTGGCTAATATTGCCAATGTCCACAAGCGGAAGAATGATGCGAAAAGATTTGACTCTGATTATCCTGCGATCGCACATACCTTGTTGCTTAACAGGCAAAGGTTTCTTCGTCGTATCTCTAGAAACATACACTAGCGTAAGTAACACTGTAAAGCTGAAAACTTCAATAAAATTATATCTATCGGTATACACATGGCCGCAACGTCTAAGCTTTAAACATTAGAACACGATTGAATTGCTTTGACGTGCTTCATTTTCTATGAAAATCACTCGTGTATTTCGTCTTTTGCAGGTACTAAGTACAGCCGCATCATATTTTACACTGCTGAGACAGCGTGAGACTCCGTGACATATGTTAATCGTGACAGTGTACATAGTGTAAATAGCGTCGTACATAGCCTTGTATAGAGATCAGTGTTCGTCCTTATAAATTATAAATTAAATTGATTGAAAAGGACTGAAATTCTGCAACAATAAAAATTAATCAAATATCAATATTACCTGTCAGCTTCCATTAGATATATTACATGTACATGATCTAACCGTATCAAAACATATTAAATATTTTTCTTGCACATGAAAAGAATACCTGTAGTTGCATTGTCATATCTGACAGTTGCGTCACAATATAAAGAAAAAGAAAACGAAACAAGTTCTTAACTGAAAATTCATTTCATTTTAACAATATACTATTGTATTAAAGTGTACGCATTTCGAAATGTAAGTAAGCATATAAAATTTTTTAAGACAATGCATACTGATATGATGATATGCATATTTTCGTTGCATTTCTGCAGGTTCTATGTTTATATCATGAAGGCATATGTTATTTCTGCATTAATAACTTATTTCGCACTATATGGCTGCATGTGGCTACCCAATTTCGTATATTACAGTACAGAATAATCAATACGCCGACTTTAGAAGACAAGGATAAACTCGGCCAAGATTTAAATCCCGATTCTTCGGATAAATTTCAGGAATTTATCTCGTTAATCGACAAAGTAATTGAATTTAAAATTGGTATCACAAAGAGAGATCACGGCACAAGTCGATCCATTATCCTCATTTTCTCCGTTCTCAATTGGTACGCTGCCTTTCTAATGTATCAAATGATCACTGTTCTTTCGCTATAGATCTTATTCCCTGCCTTCGTAAAAATTTGATGAAAATTACAACTACCTTGTCTTACATGCTACGTTTAACATGCAAAGTTTCCCTTTCCCAAAGCAGCACAGCTGTTGACAGTGGTTGGATTTCACAGAGGGTCTCTTAATCCAGGAATCATGCATAATTCATCAATCCTGTTCATGTCCTGCGTATTATGTATCTGTACTACGTATAATAGTATGCCAAGGTTAACTATTAAATATATAAAACTAAAGAACGTGTGAAAAAAACATAAAAATGTAAAAGTAAACGGGCGCAAACTTTTTAACGAAAAGTTTTAGAGAAATAAGATAAATAAGTTGCTCGATAGATTTAAAAAGATAATAAAATATATTATAATAGCACATATATGCGTATATTGGTTCTTAGATAGGTAGACTTATATTATTTTTGACATTCCTAGGCAAACGCATCTAGCACGATACAGGTTTTAGATATCGCAGCATCGTACTTTACGTTGCTAAAACAGTGTATAGAAGCCACTCCATGATACATGTTAATTCTATAACGGTGTACATAGCGTATAGACGTAGGTAGATACAACAATTCTTTGCTGTACATTACACGTGAATTTTCAATGAATAAATAAGAGTATCAATTATCTATTGACCCATATGTGTTTGTATACGCATACCTATCCCACAATTAGCAATAAAAATATTCACAGACTTTTCACTATCACCAAATTAATGAACTCTTTCAAAATCAAATCTTCTTTTCTTAAAACGACATACAAGACGTCAACGTTCTTCGACAGACTGCATACATATATTAATCTTCTACTTCCCCGTCGCCACATCCAACTGCCACCCACCACTCAGCCCTACGGTGAGTTTTAAATCATGCATAACTGGTTGATCGCATGCATTACGCAGAATATAAGGCGTACGAATAAGGATATAGGACAATTGGAAGATCAAAGACACGATATATCGATGCAATTGCTTTCGAAACTTTTCGAAAATTAATAGACCGACTCCCCTATAAATTCCGAATCGGTGTGTCTGATCGTATGAAATCCAATATGAGCTTGAAATATCATAAAGACGTTTCTTTCAGTGTAGCAGTTTTCTATCTAAAGATCGTCGGTTTGTGGTTAAGCACTAGCCTCGCTGAGAAATGGTTCAGAAATGCCTTAGTGACGTATACTGTTCTCGCAATTATCTTTAATATGTGGATGCAATTGAGGGGTCTTTATTTCTCTTGGGGAGATTTTAGCGTAAGTGTATCGAGAGTTTTACATAACTTGTAACTTTAACTTGTAGCTTGTAACTTTCTTAATGTTAATGTTTCAGGTCAGCACTTATATCGCGTGCAATAGTTTGGGACTATTCATGGATCTATTTAAATTGTTAATTATATTTATACATAAGAAAAAGTTTCTTTATTTAATCGTGTATATGCAGAAGAATTTCTGGCATTTCAACTACAATCAGTATAAAAAATCGGTCCTAGCAGATGCGAAACGAATGTGCATCTACTTCGTCTGCGTCTTCTCATTTCTCTCTCAATCTACTAT